TCATGACAGTTTCCATTTACCTTAAACTGAGAGAGTAAACTTCAGTTTTCTTGGCTGTTGTGAAAAATGTTCTGTTAATGTATTAGTTTCAGAAAGGTGATGCATTAAAGTCGATCACAATACCTCAATCAAATACCATCAAACAGTATTTATGAAAACAGCTTATATATGTCAGAGGGCTTATGAAGGACTAATGTTGCAATCTAGGGCCGACTTGAAGCAAACTGTTATTTATCAGTATTTACATTCAAAGGATGCTTTAATTAAAATGGCATCTAATGTCTGAGGTTCTGTAGAAAATGAGAGCGTTCTGAATTCAAAAAAGGAGCAAAGCTGTTTTTTTATGTTGAGTGAAAAAATCATAAAATAACCTAGGCAGAAATTGTCTTCATTTTTTTGAGATCATTTTAGCTTTATCTTGTTGAGACTTTTGGAAGGAGAGCTGGGGAGAGTCCCTGCTCTGCTGCTTTGCACTGTGGCAGCATTGGGGGATTTAGCCCAGACTCCTGCCCCTTTACACTAATAACCATGCTAAAATACAGGGCCTTCTCTGAGGATTTTTGAGGTTAAACTGGGCAATCCTGACCAAAGGTGGGGAGATCCAAGTTGCAGAGCTGAAGTGACTTTCTTAAGGTCACACTGTAGCTCAGTGACCAGGCCAGAAAAAATACATTTTTTTTTTCCTGTTCCTATGACTAATCCTCGAGATCGTGCTGCAGGCTGGCATTAATATGAATTTCCAAATAATAGTAAGGTTTTAAAATGTATTTTGAAGGCATGCGAACTGACAGCTTGGCTTGATCGCATCCTAATGCTTTTCTGCAGATGGAAAATATATTGCAGTTTAATGCTTACTTCATTTAATAGCATTATATCTTTGTCCAGAAATGTCAAAAGTAAACAGAAATTGCTTTCTTAGTGTGGATAGTGGCTTGTTAGATTTATCTGTAGGGAGTATTTTCAAAATTGACAAATTGTCCAGAATAAGTTGGAAATCAATCCACTCTGTATTGGTTTCCAGAATCCATTTGTTTGAAGGAGTGGAAAAAAAAAAAAGGAAAGGAAAGGCAATGCCTCCCCACTTCTTTGCTGTGCAGTGATTCATGTGGCTTTGAGGCTGCTGCCCCGAGCTCTGCGCAGAGCCGGGCACGGGACGTTGCCACCGGAACAGGCTGCACAGGGCAGAGTTCCTGTTTGTGGGCGTGAATTCAACTTAAATTCTGCATATCGCATTTGAACAGCTTTAGAAAAAAAAACAATAAATAAAAGTAGTCTTCATAAATTTTTTTTTGCCCCCCTTTTTTTTTTTACTGTAAGTGTAGTAGAAATGCCTCCATTAATAGTGATCACACGTAAAGAGCAAAACACTTCAATATGTAAAACTGACAAATGCTCTCAGGTGAGGTAAGTGGTGCTGTCATCTTCTGTAGACTGACCTTTCTGACAGGCAAGAGAAAAATCAAACGGTAGAATGGATTTCTGTTCTAAAGACTGCTTTGTATCAACTGTCAGGGGTTGGAGTTTTCGGGTACGTTTTCTAGAGGAAACACTGCGGTGCTGCGTCCTGTTACGCTGTAGTGCCGGTAGCTGGAGCGCACACAGCCGGAGCGCGCACAGCCGGCGTTCGCCTGTGCTGGCCAGGAGGGCTGTGAGCTGCACAGCTTGTCCTCGCGCGGGAGGGAAGTGCACGGAGCGTTCCCAAGGGAGCACCCGCTGCTGGGAACTGGGGAAGTTCGTGAAAAACAAACACGCGGTGCAGCGCGGCGGCGCCGTGTGAGCGCCGGGGAGATCGAGTGCAGGGCAGCTCGCGAGCTGCTACAGATGAAGTGACTGGGTAGGTGCAATTAGTAGCAGGGTGAACACAGGCCCCTCTGAGCTACTGGCTTGAACCTCGACGGGCAGCAGTGACCAGAGACTTGGGGTGTTAGCTGAGGAGCTTCAGCCAAGCTACAGCCCCATCTGCACACAGGCGGGCAGTAAAGGAGCAGAGCCAGGATAACGGGAGGTATCGAGCCATGTCCCAAGGTGCAAGTGCTGAGTGCGGGGCTGGGTTGTGTTTGGTTTTGGTTTGTTTTGAATTTTACGCTGTGACTGCTGATAATAGCAGTTCCCAGCTCTGCCAAAGCCTCATCCACTAGGATAAGAAATTCCACATAAGGAAAAAAACATTTATAAAGCAGGGTGTGCTCCCCTTGCGGGCCATCGTGATACTTTTGTTTTTGTGTAAGGGCCCTTTGCTTTCATGGTCCGTGTGGGCTTCCCTCCCCCCTGCTTCATTCACTAAGGAAAAATACATGAGGTTGGTTTATTCCATTATGTCTCTTTTATGGAGGCTGGGGGAGGGAAGGGGGCACTGGGCGGCGGTAGTAAAGCCGTAATTGTAAGATAGTGCAAAAGCTGTTACAAATCCAATTTGCAGAGGAGCATCCACCTCCTCTGCCTTGGGAATATTCATAAAGTCGTGTTTGGCGCCGCAGAGCCCTGACAGATCTCAAACTAACATGGGGCTGGCTGTAAGTTTGGTGAATACAGCGTGAGCGGCGCGGAGGAGAGGAAAGTTACCTGGATGTTCCTGGGGTAGGAAGAGATACTTCAGAAGTCTGTGCTGGGTTTTAGTATAAGTAACACAGGACATTGTGTGTTGAAGCTGCTTGATAGAAAAGTGTTTTGATCTGTAGCATTCTCGGCCTTAACAGTGTGTTTCTTGTTGTTTAATTTTGAAACCTGCAGTCATTCCACTGTCCTTCTCCCAAAAAGATGTCGTTCAAAAAAATGGATCCGAGCTGTACGATAGGATTTTATTGCAGAAACGTGCAGGACTTCGAGAAGGTTTCGGAAGAGATCACAAAGGTAGGTGCTCAGCTCCGGAATCGGCTCCGCGGTCAGGAGCGGTGTGTGTCGTGCGTGGGGCAGGGGAGGGAATCCTTTCCTGGGCAATATTGCTTCTATTAACGATGAGAAACGTAGATTATTTTTCATTACCTCTCTCCAATGCCAACATGTAAAACCTTGAGAGATCCCAAGTTGTGGCTCACGATGGTCCCTCGTGGAGATGCCGGAGGGAGCGGGAACAAAGCCGGAGCGGAGGTGGCCGGGGCGCTTCCACGAGGTGGCACTCGTGAAATGGGAATGGGGCCGCTGCCCCGCGGCCGGCAGGGATGGCGAGAGGCCCCAAGTCCCTGGGGAGGGATCCCCTTTAGAACAGGAAGCGTCTGATGAGCCACAATTGTGCGTTAGTTCTTGTTAGCATAGGAGCTGTTTCTGGTTGTGTTTAATGCAGAGCAGCGTGCCATGATTTGCTAACAGTGTTTTTAAATCAACAGAGCAGGAATCGTTCGGTCAGTCTGATCATGTCCCTTCCACTTGAAAACACGGAGATAGGTTTAGTTGGGTCCAAATATAATCGACGTTTCTTTCGGTGTGAGTGTATGCAATACAGTGTTATTAATGTTGCATTAACTGCGATAATGAGTAACATGGTGTAATTTTTAAAACTGTCTATTAGTGGATTCAGCAGTAGCAGGAGACGGTCACAATATTAATAGTCCAATCACAGTAGTTACACAGGGGAATAAAGAATTAATGTTTGTGCAACACTTTGAGTATCCTTTTAAGTGGTATTAGTATTACAGCAAACGCAGCATTTTAAACCATGTACAGTCTTAATAATCACTTTAATGAAGTTTATACATATAAACTTTAGTAGGTTGGACTGATGCTGAAGTTTTTTTGTCTGATTCATACACAGAGAACTAGAAAATAGATTTGAAGAAGTTCCTCAGCAATATGCATGTATAGAAGTCATAAATATTGAAGTTTTCTATTTTTTCCATGTTTTTCTATTCTCTCATACATGAGAGAATTTAAGAACTTGGTTTAAAAAAAAAAAAAAAAAGTTGGATTACAAAATCAGCGACTCTGGAAGTTCTCCAGTTTTTTTTCCAAACTCAAAAAGAAACAAGGAAGACTTTTTTAAAAAAAAAAAAAAAAAAAAAAAACACCACCTTTCCCTGAACATATGTGATGAAAACAGCAAATGGTTTAAGTCTTGGAGCTATTTTCTTGCATTTTGGATAAGTTCTTTTACTATTAGTGACATCAGTTTAACATTAATATATTTCAGACATAAAGTTACAAAACAGAGGGAAGTTTGCAGGCAAATATGTGAGAGACCCTGTGATCCTTCCATCTCTCCTTCGCATCCGTTGTTTTTCCTGCCCTTCCGCCAGCTTTTCCCTCTGCTCACAGTTCGGCTGCTGCAGTTCTGTGCTCTCGGTGGGGACTGCGTAGCCTAGACTAACAAATTCAGATTCTTGCTTCTTTTATGGGTAATAAGAGGTTGGAGACAAGATTTATTTTGCTTTTATTATTTGAGGATAAACCCTATATGAGCCGTATATTCAGTGAAAGAGAAATCAGGGCATAGATATCAGGGACCCAAATGGAAACGGCTTAGTGAGAAGCCATCCAAATCACACTCAAGTTGCCCTCTGTTGCGCTGCTTGCTGCTCAGGTAGCCATTATTAAGTAGTTCAATATTAGCCAGAATTAAATAGCTGTGAGATTCAGGAGGCCTGGGAACACGCGCAGGGCGAGGCCGGATCTCCCCTGCGGCCGTGGCCTTTCCGCGGGGCAGGGTGAGGAGCCCGGGTGCTGCAGAGCTGTCGCAGGTTGGTTCCGCATCAAACCATGGCTGAGAATAAATAACCAACTTGGGCCATGAGCGTTTTTGCCTGTTTATAGCCCGGATTCTTAGCGGAAATGAGAAGTTCTTGGGAAAACCAGACTGTCGGAGTGCTGAGCTCGGGTGCACTCCAGCACCAAGAGCTGGTGACAGTGGCATTTGTGAGTCTAACCCAGAGCTACTGAACACGCCCCTCCTTATCAATAAACTTTCTGTAGAAATCGTCACTGTGGCATCTAAAGAACGTGCAGTCCTGTGTTTGTTCATTTCCAATTAACATTTTCTCTGGTATGTGTTTTACATTATAGATGCTGAAATCTTCATCTAAGGAGAAATATCCTTTGTTTACCTTTGTAAAGGGTCATTCTAGAGACTATGACTTTGCTTCCAGTCCTCTTCGTGAAGAAAACGACCTTTTCTCAGAGGATGAAAAGAAAAGATTAAAAAGATTTAGTACAGAGGAGTTTGTCTTGCTTTAAGGACATTTTACACTAGATTATTGGCAGCTGTCCAGGAGAACACTTGTCTTTTAAAATATATATATATGTGTGTCCTCCTCCCTCCCCCCAAAAGGCAAGCTGTGCTGGAAATGGTCTATTTTCGTAAAGATTACGATGTTTTATATGTTAATAGTCTTTAAAATGTCATTTATAAACGTTGGTACTAATCATTCTTGGCTGCGGGTCGTTGGGCGAGTTTCCCGCTCCGCTGCCGGCGAGAGCCGCCGTGGGCCGAGTCCCGAGGAGCCGGCCCGGCCCGAGCCCCCTCGCGGGACAGCCCCGTTGTTGGTGTCCCGACGGCCGCCGCGGGTGGGAGGGCAGGTCATTCCCGCCGGGAAGCAGCAGGGAAGCTCCGCGGGGCGGCCGCTCCTCCAGCCGCGGAGGCTGCATCCGCTGAGGACGCTGTTGGGCAGCCTCGTTTTGTAACGGGCGCTCGTCAGGCTGCTCGTTAGGCCGTGGAGCCCGACACGAGGAGCGACGATGAAGTACTTGCTTTCCCCACGATTTTTAAAGGTTACACTATTAATACTAACTGCAACCAATCAAAGCAGCTAAAGACAGGTATTAGAAGGGAGCAGGGTTTGTTTTCTGCTCCAGCTAGTCTAATATTGAAGCTCTGCTATTAGTGCAACTTTTAAAGCAAGCAGGGGGGTGGACGATTAAAAAAATCAGTTTTTTTGTTTCATACATGTTATTATTGTACCAATGTAACTCAGTGGTCTGTGTTCTAAAATTGCAAACAAATGTACATAGATAGTTCCATGTTTTAACAAAGCAAATGCAATATTTAAAACTATTAACCCTGCTTGGAAAATAAAAAGTGTGAGAACATTAAATGCATGTGGCTTTCCTATTAATTCTGGCTCCTCTCTGGCTGGATATATAATCCTGCATCTAAACAAAATATTGTAAGGCGCGAGCGCTCTGTTTATTTGTAATAAAGGCAGATTTTATTGGTGTGTTGTAAACCAAATGTTAACTATGGAAGTGCCACCAGGCGCAGAAGGCGCAAACGTCTGTCCCCACCGAGCAGCGCCTGAGCGCGGCCTCCCGTGCGCCAGGAGGGGGCTGAGGGCTGGGTTTTCTCCATGCAGAAACGTGTGTTTCCACGTGTGTCCCTTGGGCAGAGTTTCAGAAAACCCAGTGAGATTATTTGTGGTTTCACTTGTTTTCAGCAGGCAACACATCATTTGTCTAAATTAGTAACCTCTGCACTGCTAAATCACACTCATAATTGGCATAATCCTAGTCTTAAATGCTGCATGTGTGTGAAGATGTTCAGCTTGATCTGCCTTAACATTTTTCATTAATAGCCCAGAAGAGGGAGTAAACAACGTATTTATGGAATTTAGATGTCAAAATGAGGAGAATTGTGAATGTCAGAACTAAAAAATAGCAGATTCCTGTTTAGTGAAGCAGTAGTTAATGTAGCTTCAGCAAAATCAGTGGCAAACTCTTGAGCGCTTCCTTTGGGTAACGGCACACGGGAAGGGGACCCAAACTTGTACTTGGCTTCCATGGTGTGAAAATAATAATAATAATAATAAACCAGTGCAGTCTGTGCTGCATCGTTACAGGCTTCAACCAGGGAGCAGGAGGCTGTAAGCGGTGTCCAGGCTCTCACTGATGCTCTCCGCTCTGCTCCTTCCCACCAGGAAGGCAGTAACTAGGTAGAGTTTGCAGAAGAGCAGCACAAACAAGGCAGAGCCTGCAGGGACGGAGGAGGAAAGGAGGATTCGAGCCCCGGGGCTCCGCTCCCTGTGGCTGCAGCACGAGCCGAGGGTGCGGGGCGGCCCGGCCGCCTGCAAACATCCATCCTCTCCGCAGCAGCGGGAAGGGCCGGAGCCCGGCTCAAGGATCCGCATCCCTGGGAAGGGGACAGGAGCGGGAGAAGCCTCCCAGTGCACAGGGGGGAGGATCTGTCAGGTGAAGAACCAAGAGCGGCTGCTTCCACCTGTTGCAGTAATAATAATAGACTGCGATAAGCTTTACAAGCCTTAATGCCCAGGATTTGTGAGGAGGAGGTTGGAAGCAGTGTTTAGTCACGTGAAACTGAGGAAAATGTCTGACCACCCAGTGGACTTTTTGCTATTGCCGTTTCTTCTGTGGTATTTTATTCCTGAATATGGAAATCACGCAAACCTGGACACACGTCTCAAGCCTTTCCGGCCCGCGCAGCAGCCCGTCTCCTTTGGGAGATCTGACCCTCTCGCCCCGTCACAGACGTCGCCCCTGGCACCGTCCCGCAGGCAGTGTCCAAGGAGCGACCCCAGCACCGGTCACTGGTGTCCCCGCGGTTTCAAACAAGCAGCTCCAACACCAGCGTTTTCCAGAAAACACACGCAATGAAACCGATAATGACTCTACATGGTGCTGATGGAGGGGTCGTGCTGTGTCCTCAGACTGAAACCAATTGCTCTGGGCTTGGAATGCTGCAAGTTTTCCGTGTCTGTTCCTTAGTACCTGCTCCTCTACTAAATACTTGCGAGCAGAGAATGGGCAACTTTAATTGCAGCACTTGTAACTTCAGATAGTAACTAAAGAATTAATCTTCTGGAATGCTACTGTTGGAAACTAAAGTAGCTCAGAAAGCCCATGTGCACATGCCAGATGCCCCTAGACGCTGCCCCTAGAAATATACTGCTGTTTGAAAGTCTTTTAGTTTGGCATTCCTTCACCAGAAAGGGTTCTATGGAAATAAAAGAGTTACAGTACATAAGTGTTAATAAGAAAAATGTAGTTCGGCCTTCCCGACAGCAAACTTACCTGCAAGGGAGAAGTAGTTTCATTTGTCTCGGCCTTTCCATAACTTGTTCATACAGACACGCAAGGGCTGAAACACCCTTACTGGGGTTTTTTTCTTTCTCCTTTTTCCATATGGGCAAGACTTCGGTTCTGGAGCAGCTGACACTATTCCGTCCTTAAACCTGCTATTGAATCCCTTAGTTTACCACAGTAGTGTTCTATCTGAAGCCTGCTATGAATAGTTATTAAAAACCAATAGCTATTTCTAGATTTTTTTTAATGTTTCTCCTGCAATGCCCTTCGGCACAGAGGAGTTGCCCCGGTGCTGAGGATCTGTGTACAGTGGTGACACCACTTAAATTAACAAGTTACTAGAAATTAATGTTTCTCAGTAACTACAGGGGACTTTAATTGGAAACTATGTTAATCGCGTTGTAATTCTCTTTACCTCGTCTGCATTATCTCCTGAAAAGTCTGCAATTAATTTGTGTCATCGCTGTTGCTGCTGCTGCCTTCAAACACAAACCGAAGGAGCATTAGTTACTCACACACCCAGCAGTGGCCCGTTCGCCCGAAGGACGCCCACAAATCACTGCCTGGCACCTCGTACCTGCCAGCACCGGCAACAGGAGGGCATCTCAATAACCTTTATCTTTTGTGCCGCTTCCTTTTCCCTTGGAAGGAACCCTCCTGCATGTCTCTAAACACTCGGACGCTAAATATGTAACCGGGGCTCCATCTTCCCCTTCTAGCCAAGATATCGGCCTCTTTTTGCACAGTGACAGGAGGCCCGGGCTGCTGCTCGCCGGGAAAACCACCCTGCACGTTGCCCTGCTCCCTCAGCTCTGCGTTTGTGGCCATGGTCGTTGCAAGCCCAAATCCATTAGGGACATCCGTGGGCCAGCAGCCGCCCTCCCTGCAGAGCCTTGCGCAGGCGGCAGCTCCTTGCTGGGGCCTTCCCGCTCGGAGCGGCGCAGAGCGCGGCCTCCACGGCCTCCCGGAGCAGCGGCGCTGCCAGGAGGCTCCTGCCCCCACACGACTGCTGGGCCG